GGTGGATTGCCCGCCTGTAGTTGGGATGGAGATGAACGGGGAGAGGCTTACGGCTACATCTGGGAGGTATGAGGTTTTTGCTTTTCTGGTACTTTTGATTGATACTTAGTTGACTTTACATTGTTACTACTCCATGTCCTATCCCTTGTTTTTCTCATTAGTTGTAATAATTTTGGGCATTTGTTGTAATCTGGGAATGAAATTTTGGCTTTAATGGGTAAAAAGGGTTGAATGTTAGAGTTTTATCGATTGACATCACTGCTAGGGAAAGATTCTTCTACTGAGAGGGAGGGAGGGAGGGAGGGAGTTTTATTTGTTGGCGGTGTTACTTTTTTTTTGGTGAAAGCCTGGGAGTAGTTTAAAATAACGAAGAAGAATCTCTTGCTTAATGCTGTAGAATCAAGCAGAGCATCGAATTGTTTATAAAAGTTCTATCTTTATTTATATTTTTCCCTTAAAAGTTTGGAAGTCCTTGGTTTTGAAGAATTTGAAATTGATTGATTGGGACATGGCCTCAGTTGTCCAAGATATGGTAGCCTAGAATTCTATCAAATGCTGTGTTTATGATTTAACTGTTGCTATTTAGCGCCGGTTTATCTGTTGATGTAAGAGAAGCTCTATGACCTTATGCTCTAATAAAAAAAAGTATTTTTAACTTTGCTGAATTAGTGATTAGCTATAGAAGCTGTTCTACTCTTTCATCTTTTATCTATTGATACCTTGGTACCTTTGATGTTACTAAATTTGGTTGACAAGTTTAGTTTACCTCCATCCCACTTTTATTAGTTTTATAGTGAAATGCTAGGGAAACAAAAGTTGCAACTTTTGTTTCATTCTTTTGTTTACTAATTACGAGCATTAGTGCAGGTGAGGCTTTTGTTTAATTCATTATTTGAAAGGACCTCCTTATGACATTGACGAATTCTTATTGTACTCCATATGAAATTGCAGCAGATCAGCTTTCCCTAGCACTCGGAAGAGTCCAGAGCCTTTTGATACACCGGCAAAGAGAAATAATTTCAGTAATCATCGGAAGGCGATTCATGATCCAAAGTCTGCTGAAAGTATAACCTTTAGGTTAAGTATACCTGCTAAAAGTGCTCCTACAAGCAGCTTCTCAAGTCCTGTGCGTAGTCCACAACGATTGAGTAATGTAGATGTATTCCCTTCAACCAGCGGTTCTTTGCAAGGGCTTCAGGCTTTTTCTGCTCCTGAGGTCCCTTCTATGGATATAATGACAGGAATGTCTCCCCAAACTTCACCTGAGAAACATCATGGCAGTCCTGATATATCACCATTGTATAGTCCAACAATCAAAAGTCCAATTCCGAAGTCAAAAAATCCAAGTGCATCTCAATCTCCTCTTCATCCTAAGATGTATTTGGAGAATTCTAATGCATGGAATGACAATAATATGAATTTGAATGTCCACCCACTGCCTCTACCTCCTGGACCTGCTGTCTTGCCACAGTCTACCTTTACTCATCAAAATCCAATTCAAAATGAAGGTGCTGCAATGACAAACCAATGGCAGAAGCAAAGACTGATTGGCAGTGGTACTTTTGGGAATGTTTATAGGGCCACCAACAGGTGAGTGAGTGAGCTTCCTGATGGATACTCTGTGGGTTTTCTTATTATTTTTTTCTCTTTCTTCATGAATTTTGTGTTTGATCTTAAACAGGCATACTGGTGCTCTATGTGCAATGAAAGAAGTAAATATAATCCCTGACGACCCTAAATCTGCTGAATGTTTGAAACAACTGGAACAGGTTAGCCCTTCATGCTGTATTCAGATCCTCAGATGCATGTTGCTAATGCATTCTTAATTTGCTTTACCAATATTAAATGGCACAAAAAAGCTTGTTTGCACTCAATAAGATCTATGTTATTCACAGATGATGGTCAATGCAATGAAGGTGACATTCAGTGACTATGAGCAAACCTTTTTTAAACTAATGATTAAATGCAGTAAATGGAAAACAACACAAGATGCAGATTTGAAATCTTTTTACATTAGTGTAGTTATCATGCTTCTGCCTTGTGACCATATTTTTTGTCTCTTTCGTAATTTTAGCTTTGAGATTGTTTTGGAGTTGTAACTTATTTGTTTGGGTTTGTTCGATATACCTATGCTTGAAGCTTAAAGTATATTTCTATTTTATGTTGCTTGTTATTAAACTTTCCTCGGAACATGATGGTAAATAAATTTATGTTTAGGCATGCTATTGAAGTTAAATTGTGAGCCTTTGTGAATTTTAATATTCCTTTCACACTTCCTGATTTATTTCTGCCTAAAAAATGGATGCCCTGATTAGTGATGAATTTTCTATCCATGGAAACCTACTCATTGATAAGCTTCCCCTGCAGGAAATCAAAGTTCTTAGTAAATTGAAACATCCAAACATTGTGCAATATTATGGAAGTGAATTGGTGAGTTTTCTTATAGCCCTTGTGATGCTTTGATATTTGCCGATGTATGTTAGGGCAGTTTGATGCGTTTTAATATTTAATGCAGACTGAGGATCAATTTTTCATATACCTGGAGTATGTTTACCCTGGTTCAATTAACAAGTATGTTCAAGAGCACTGTGGAGCTATGACAGAATCTGTTGTTCGCAATTTCACTCGTCATATTCTCACTGGGTTGGCATTCTTGCATAGTACAAATAACATCCACAGGTTGCTACTAACACTTAGAATTCATTTTTAGGGATTTGGGTTTATGTTTCTGCATTGCTACGTTGGCAACAACTTGTCAGAATGTCTTCTATATCAAAATTTCTATCTTGTCATTTTCTTAATTGTCATAATACTTCATGACTTTTCTTTAGGTTACATTTTGTAATAAATGTGTGTTTGAGTACTTTGACCAGATGCCTTCTTTGACCAGATGCCTTTCAGGATGATTTTTTTTTTTTTGGTTAATTTCCCGCACTGTGCTTGTTTTGAACACTACCTGCTTAAACAAACTGCTGCCCTAAATCAATTTTTGGTTCTTTAACCTTATGATAGTTACAAGATCTTCATGAATGATACAATATAACAACTAAAGGAAAAGTCACCTGCAAATATATCTTTTTGTGAATTTGTATTCTTCATTGCACTACTTCCACGCCAAAAAACTTATTTTATTAAACTGCTCTTATATATTGCTTTTAATACATGACGCTTATAATATTCACGGGATTTTCAAGAATAATACACCATAATGACTGAAGGAAAAGTGTAATACAATTTCTTTTTTTATAATTAACATCGATTTAATTGACCAGATAGCATCACAACATAACAATATTCAAGTAGATAATACAGATTTGGCAAATCTGATGAACACAAACTACAGGCAATCAAAGATCTCTGTTTGCGCAATTAGGGGACTAAAATTTTGAGAGTTGAAGCATAACTCAAGATTTTACAGTAAAAATTTCTGTTATCATTTTGTTGACCATTTTTACTTTATGCCTTCATCGTATAAAATGTTGTGAGCGATTAAAAGAAAATAATGGATCTTTTTTGTTATGTTTATCTTTTGGATTGGCTACTAATGACATAAATTTGTGATCTTTGAGATTTGTTGAGATATTTGATTGGTTGCTTAGTAATTCTTTTGGTGTTTTGTTATGTGTTTACAGATGTGCATAGTGCCGTGATTTTTGGCTAATCATGACTCGTTTTTTGAAATGATAATGACCTATGCCTTGTTTAAGGGGTTTTGTTTTTGAAATGATAATTACCTATGCCTTGTTTAAGGGTTTTCTTGCCACAAATGATTTTTCTCTACCAATTCTAGTATCTCGTTTTGTTCTAATTCGATTATATATTAAACTGGTAGACATGAATATTGATAATGATAGTATCCTGTTGATCATTCTGGACTTTTGATATCGTGAGTGTTGAAAAGGGAAGCATTCATAGTACTAAAAGAACCAAGGAATAAGCATATCTAAGAGATTGAGAAGATGAGATGATTACATGTCTCAAAATGGAGGCAAAAGCTTAGAGAGAGAGAGAGAGAGTCAAGATTAGGAGGTGGTGATGAAAAGTCATATTTTTTCTCCATAAATCATATTTAAGTATAGTCTAACGTAATGATGAGTGGAGCAATGATTTCGATAAAATTGACATTTTTACTGTTTAGGAGAGTATGTTGAAGGAGAACTAAAAAGGTAAAGAGATTGAAGGAGAGAGTTAAATAAATAGTATTGTAATCATAGTCGATAATTGAGATTCATGGTGGAGTTTTAATCATTCTATTCTTGATAAGGGAAGAATTTGATGTAAAGGAAGAATATGGTGTAAAAGAAAAACGTATGAGAGAAAGAGATAAGGGGGGTTGAGAAGATATGACGAATGATTTTCTCAAAGAAAGGGAGTTCTAAGGTAGAGTTTAAAAAAGCATAAAAGATTCCTATGGTTTAGGCGAGGAAGGAATTTATCTTGAGTGGAGAATGAATGATATGACAAGCAGGGTAGCAGTAATAGAAATCATGGTGGAGTTTTTATCTTTCAATTGTTGAGAAGGGATGAACATGGCATTAAGGAAGAACCTATGAGGTAAAGAGAAAAGAGAGGATGTTGAGAAGATTAGAAGAAAGAATTTCTCAAATGTAATCAAGTGGCTGGGTGAGAAAAGTGTAAAAAAAGTCTTTTGACAAAGATACGAAATGAATTAATCCCTAAAGTGGAGTTTAAAACTAGAACATATTTTTTATTTATTATTAACTATTTTAATTAAAATCGAAGGCTTACTATCTATTATTTTAGCATTAAATATTTGAACTTATAATTTTATTAAAATTAAAGTAATGAAGATAATTTCAAAATAATAACCGACTATTTTATCCTTAAATTAAGCCAAAATTAAAGGAAAACAACTTAAAATATTTGACAAGATTCAAATATACTAAGAAAAATAAGATCCAATGCTAATAATTTGAAGCAACCATCTTGCATTACATAATGAGTCCCATTATTTGTAAATAGTAATCATAATTTTTTTTAATATTTTAATCCCATGAACATTAAAATGAAAATATATTTATTAACATGATAAATAATTATGTTTCTGTTGATAACCATCAAATTAGCAAAGAGTACAAATAACATAAAATAAATAATTAAGCCTAACTATATGGACATACAATAGAGATAACTAGCTAGAAGCAAGCTTCTTGTGTTGTGTCAATTTCCGAGGCTACAAGGAGCTTTGCCTTGGAGAATTGAAATATTATTAGCAGAAAACTTGCCTTTGACTTACCATTTAGCCAGCGAGGTCCATCTTGAATAATTGAGGCAAAATAAAATGTGTCTTGAAGTATGGGTGGGGAAAGAGAATTATATCCTAAAGCAAAAGAGATGATTGAAAAAGATCAATACTTCATCCAGCAGCACAGAAAAGGGGCTCTCATTCTAGATTATTAAGAGTGCTATCATTTGCTTTGGAAGATCGTCTTTAATATAAAGTTTTACCTGATGGGGAGATCTAATGCACTATTTTTGTATAGCTAACTGAAAGATTACCTTCTTTTTTTCATTTATTCTCATAGTATGTCAGTTTGATTTGTTAGATTGGGAGGTTTAGAGATTTTAACCAAGTTTGATGGGTCAAGTTGGTTGCATAAAACTGTGAAGGCAAAATTGAAGGGAAATCAGAATGTAAGTCTTAGACAAAATTTGCTTTAAAAGTTTTGAATTTCAAATTTGAAATTAAATTTCCATTCTAAATTTAAATGAAAGATCAGTTTAAAATCTTTGGACGAATTTAGGAAGTATTCTATGAAGGGAATTATGAAAAACATTGTGGATAGAATAGTTGGTTAAAATGGGGAAGAAAAAATAATATGGTTGTAACTCAATTTCATGCGTTTTAAAATTTAAATTTAGTTTTTTTTCTTTCTTTTTCAAATTCAAATGGAGGACATTTAATATGAAATGATGTAAACTAATGCAATACTAATGAAGATTGTGGTGGAATTTTTATATCTTGACTGTTTGAAAGCGTTGGTTCTGGTACATATAAAGATTTAGGGAGATGACAAGGATGAAGAGATTGGTGATGAATGAATTTCCTAAAGGATTAAGAAAGAAAGGACCCATAGGTTAGGAGAAAGAGAATTGAACCCTTAAAGAGTGAAAAAGAAAGCTATACCTTTATTTCATAATTAGATTTTCACTAATTATAATCTAAAACTTACTATTTGTGATAGTAACCACATTTTTGTTAGATGACCTGATTAACAAAATAATACAAGCATGTCCAAAATCTATGATAACAAATGACATATCTATTGATTCAATTAAGACTCCATATTGACAACCATAAGTAGGAATCTTGCACTTCACATAGTTAAATTCACTTCATTTATTGCTCGTCAGATTTACAGTCATCCAAAGTTTTCCTGAGATATTAGTTATGTACAAATCAAAATTATTTACTTATTCAAGTTCTGAATGTACTTTTATAGATCCAAAACACCGATAAATGATTCATGGCTCTCTCAAATCCCAAGAGAAAAGAAATGATATTAATGTCCATATATTCAAGCTAATATCTAACACTTTTTGCTCTGGTTTTTGTTTTATCTTTTTTGATGATGTGAATGTGTTATTTACTCTCTCATATTCAGCCTTGAGGAAATTTTTTCTCATCAAGTTAAAGAACAAAAAGCAATGAGAAGTTGGTAAAAAAGATTATTTTTACTGACAAATTATCAAATACATGGATAAGTGAATAGCACATTTTTGGAATACTATGCACCCACATAAGTTAAGCAACCACTCTATGTTCTTTGAAATGCCTAACCGGAAAATAATATTCAAGAAAAGTTGATTGGATTTTGTCATTAAGAGTATCAAATCATTCCTTCCATGTCATATGTTTTGCTGAAGTGTATTCCTTTTAAGTTGGGCTTTGTTCAGCTGAGTTTTCAGTGTATTAATGGAGATTCCGTTACTGAAACTGGTTAGCTATAGCTGAAATTAGGATTTGTATTGGTTCCATTTGTTATAAAGCTATTATTTCCCATTTTATCATTTCTGCAGAACTTTTTTAGTGCCTTCTGTGTCTGTTGCAATGCCAGCTGTATGAACAACTTGATGACATAAATTTATCCAATTCCTTCAATTTTTCATTGTTATTATTTTGCATGAATAACTGTTTCGACGTCACAAATCAGGATTTGAAGTATGCATTTACTCATTTGTTTCTTGCAGAGATATCAAAGGGGCGAATTTACTTGTTGATGTTAATGGTGTGGTAAAACTTGCTGATTTTGGGATGGCGAAACATGTGAGTTGGGTATTTTGGAATTGTTAAGTGATCAATTATGCTGCTGTATAGAGTTACTTGGTTTAATTTTTGACAAATTGTTCAGTTCAGTTATTTTTTATGCAATGGCAAATCAGATTGAAGGACATTTAAAATACAATTCATTTGTTTATCGCTCTAGCGCTTTTAATGCTGTAGTATTTTTGCTATTATGGTTTTTGGCATGTGCGTTTAGATTGCCTGGATATTAATATGGACCTTTATAACTTGGAATTGCCTCGTCCATTGTGCAAATAATTTACATTTTTTAACTTTTTTAGTCACTGTTCAAGTCAATCTGGACTTATTTGGAATACTTTGTAATAGAAGAACTTTGCCAATTCACACAACTAATATCTACATGTGAATGCTGATTTACTCAGATAATTATGGACATTTATATTTATTTCCATAAATTTTGCGATAGAAGCTGTTGATGCTTTTACGAATATGAGTTTTGAGTGAATCCTTGTTAGTCAACTGCTTTGTATCCATTTATATGGCTTTGATTGTTTGGTTTACTGCGCTGAAACTTTATTGTTTTGTTGAAATTAAAAATAAAAACTTCTTGTTCTTGGTGGAATTTAATTGTGTTTAATTAAAATTTATGACATTAGGATAAAGATTTGAGGATTCTGAGAAATTATTTATTTTAGGTCTGTTGGATTTATAAATAAGACCCCTGAGGCATAGAAAACACTTCAATTATAGAATTGTTGAGTTAAATTTTGTTCTTTCAATTTTTTTTTGAGTATTATTGGATGTGGATAAAAGCACTTTGCAAATCTTGATGACAACTTCTGAGGGATGATTTTTATTTTTTTTTTACCATCATGAGGCTTGAATCTTTCAAACGGGGGGTTATATCCTCGTTTATTCTTCTAAATCTTTAGTAATTAATTTGTATGCAGGAGTGAGATTTTGCACGCTTGATGCGTCGGTTTTCTTTTCATGATGTCAACACTCATTGTTGTCTTGTTTTATATTTATTCTTAGATTTTTTGTAGAATTTTATATTTTCACTACTTTTAAATTATGGTCTGGAATAAATGATATATGTTTTCTAATTTTGCATAAAAAATTATTTCCTTGCTTTTAGAAGTTTGGAAACTATGAATTATCATCTTATGCGCGTTTATTCATGCATCTCATTCTAGGTTTTTGCAAACTTAGGCCCAAAGTTATTTTACATCGAATTGGTATCAACGCTAAAATCACATCTAGATCAGTAAATGAACCATTAAATGTATGGGATTTTTATTACTTAGTAAAACCAATTAAAGTGCTAACAAAGTAAAATCACATGAACACTAAAATAAATGAGGTTAAAGTTTGGCTTAATACTTTGTAAACTAAGCAATTCTCTCGCAAGAATGGGATAGTGAATCTAGTTTTTGAAGAACCCTTTGACAATATTGCTAGGAGAGGAGAAACTCACCATAAATAATCATGATTCTAAAAATAGATTGATACATGATTTTTTTTTTTATGATATCGTCAAGTTTTTTTTTTTTTTTTTAATATACCACCTTGTGTTGTCCAATTTTGCTTGATAATTTTCCTTGCCTTTTCTTTATTTGTTGAGCTTTTGTTGCTAGGTTTTTTAAGTATCATCACAAGTAGGGTTGTAAACGAGCCGAGCCTGAGCGAGCTGAGGCTGGCTCATGTTCGGCTCGTTAGAAATTGGCTCATGTTCGAAATTGGCTCGTGTTCGACATGGCTCGTGAACAGTGTGTTCGTGTTCGGCTCGAAAAACTTATTCATGTTAGTGTTCGGCTCGAAATTAGCTCGGTTGAATATAAAATTATTATAATAATTGAATTTTTAAATAAAATTAAAATTATAATTTATATTATTTAATTTTATGAATATTAATTATGTGTGTGTATTTATATATTGATTCAATTGCTAAGAAGATACTATAATTTATAAGAAGATAGCCTTGTAAGAAGATAACAATTGAATCAGAGCTATGTTGGGGTTAAAACCTCTTTAGCATCATAAGGAATCCGAGTAGGGATTTTGATGAGTTGATTTGTCTTATATTATTTAGCTGCTTTTTATATGCTTTGAACTATGATTTGGATCATATGATTTTAGTTTTTTTTTGTGTTAATTTTGATAGATCTGTTTTCAACGTGTATTCTATTTTTATGAATTTTTAGAAAAGAAATTGCTACTTAGCATGATCAGTTAGTAGATCCGAGTGCCACGACGAGATCTCCAAGAAGAGTAGGAGCACTGTGGAATTGTAGGGCCGAAAAGGATATGCTAAGTGTGTTCAGGAACTTATCCTAAAGAGTTTATAAATTTATTTTACATCTGAAACTTAGATCTATTAAAATTACATTAAAATACTAAGATTTGTGAGAAAAATCATAACGTTAAGGTATATAAGGATAGCATTTCAAGGTATGGACAAGCCAAGCAAAACAATTTATCAATTTTTTGAAAGGTGAACTCAGGATACTTATTTTTCATATTGATTTCTATTCCTAACGTTGCTTGATCGTTATGAATGATTAGAAACAATCTTATTCTTCTACTGATTATAAACTAACTCTTTCTGCTACTGATTCATTAGAACCGCCTGCTCTTGGCTTTGTGATTCCTTCCGACGCTCGTCAAAGTATATTATCTACTTTAAGTGCGATAATAAAGCAGAATAATACTTTGATTCAACTACTTCTAAAGGTCTCTGATAGACTCTTTACTTTAGAAGATAAAATTAAACAAATTCAACAAAAAGCACCCGAGAGTGAGAAAATTGTTGAAACTTCCATCTCTGCTTTACAAAAGCAACTCAAATATCTATCTCTTGGTGAGCCTTCCAAAACATCCAAGACTACTCGTCCAAAAGGCCAACCGTTTGTTTTTCAAAATCCAAAAACTATTTTTCAAAAAGAAAAACAAAAATATATTTAAGATGGCCTCCACCTCAAGAAATTCATCTTTTCGTACTACAACTTCTTCCTTCCTATCCCGTCAGTACGAAATACAAACCCTACCTCTTACCTCTTCCACATCTAATATCGATGACCAGATCCGAGACTATCGAATGAGATTGCGTATTGCATATGAGATTCAACGGAGATTGCCTAGACGCCATTCCTACCATAGTACTCTGGAAAGTCAACTTGATACGGAGCGTTAACTCCAAATTTCTTAAAGAAGACAAACAAATCTTGTTCCTGCGGAAACACTCTATGAGGATGGTTGGTCCACAACCAGGCATAGGGTATATCAACACTATTCGGAAGAGTGAATTCTTGCAGTTGAAGATATGCATATCAACTTGCCTTTCATTAGGTAGCAATCTTACCAACGCCTAGTCCAAGAAGGGATGCAACACATCCACTTAGGACTTATTATGATCAGAATTCATACACTACACAGGCGTGATGATGGGACAACTGCTCTTATTGTCCTTAGAGACACTAGATGGCGTTCCGACGTGTCTATCATTGGAACTATGGAAATAGATTTATCTAAAGGAACTCAGCTCGTTTATATTACGCCAGACATGTTATTATCAGTCCATGATTTTCTAAATCATATTGAGTTGTTGGTATTGAATCACGGCTGTCAGGACTGGCAAGGAGGAGAATCCAACCTCCTGATTACAAGAGCACTTGTGGCCAGATTAACAAATACAAGCCATGTCGGGTTTAGATATAACGTAAATGGTGTTACTGACTACTTGGCCACGCATGGAATTGTTGCAATTCCAAGTCAAAAACAGTCAATCCGGTAGCTTCAAGGACTGTATTGGAATCTGAAGCCTTCAGATTCAATTGTTGTCCAGATCCCACAACAACAGCGTACACATCAAAGGATATACGGTACTATTCGTCTGTCTTTTTTAGAATACGCTGCCATAGCACCACCACCGGTACCTCGGTATTCATCTCAAGATGAAGGACTTGAAGAAGAAGCAATATGCATGGCATATGAAGATGGCCCCATATCGGACCAAGAACACAATAATACCGAAGCCATCTGGGACGAATCTCCAGATGATAAAGAAGATACGAATGCTGCTGATGATCCGTTTTCATTATTTATATATATAAATCAGCTTAATATGATGAATTAAATTCATCCGCAAAAGTTAGTGGGGAAGAGACCTCTCCCCTCCTAAATTTTGATTATCCTTCATTCGAACCACCAAAAATTTCAGAAACTCCATCACATCTTATCCATACTCCTAAAACTCTACCATCCAATTCTAGCCATACACCTAACATCGAAACTTGTTATCCAAATATCGAAGATCAGCTCACAGAGCTTGATTATCCACGCTTGAGGAAAATAACTGCAAAGGCAGACAATGCTTATGCATCTGTCTCGTAATCTTACTTTCCTCCAAACGAGCCTGTCATGGGTCTTGTAATGTACCCACCAGCCGCTACAGGTTCACAAGCGGACCCATCCTCAAATAGCTTTCAGAGATTGAGGTTCAGAGCATCAGACTTAAAAAAAAAAAACATACCAGCAGAACATGTGGACGCTGCCGTCCACAATAAACACTCGTGGAGTAATGCTTGTTCTGCCAGATGAATTCTCGTTATATGATGACGTTATATCAAGGTGGGAGTTTATCACCCTGAATCTTATCAATGATAAACAATTTGTGGACAACAAATCAAATGTGTTGTTTATCGAAAATTTACTAGAAGTTGAGAAGAAAATTTGGATTCAATGGCGAATGACTTTTGAAGAGGAGTACGTAGCTTTAATCAACATAGCAGACGATCCACAAAACGTACTCTCTGCTATTCAAAGAGTATCTTTGCTAGAAGATCCATATCAGGGTTCTACGGATGAGCAAAATCGAGCATACCTGTACCTAGAAAGGCTAACATGTTCTGAAATCAAGAACTTGTTCGAATACATAAACGATTACAAGGTCCTAGCGGCAAAATCTGGGCGAATGTATATTAGCCCGGAATTATCTGACAAGTTCTTTCGAAAAATGCCCC